GTTTTATATGATTTTTTTGCTTCTTTGCATTCTAATATATTCAACAATCACTCTACCACTGATATACTATGTTCGTGTTTTGCTAATATTATTAAATCTATAGCAATTTTGTCTGTCTGTACTCTGAATGAGTGAGGAAAATTCCTATGACAATAGAACTTCTGCAACTAAAGTTGACGCTATAAAAATAAAATTAATTTAAAGGGGACACAAACAAAGTAACACTATATATGTTATTCTGTTTTTGATAAAGAGTTATAAAAACTTATAGAAATATGTTTAGCAATTTTGTATCAAATCAAAACTTACTTAAAAAAATTCGAAATACTAGCGTTCATAATCTCAGGAATTATTAATTATTTTTTAATTAATATAATTCTTGATATATTTATCCAATATTTTCATTGCGAGTATTTAAATTAAAATATTTAAATCTTATTACAATTTAATATCAAAACAGTGAAAAGAAACGGCTATGTAGATGTCATTTTCACAAAGTGAGTGCTTACAAATAAGTAGTAGTCAATAATTAAGCTTATTAGGCGTATCTCAATACAAAAGTTTCGTCAGAATCCATTCAATAATTTCCGCTAACAAATACATAAATACAATCTGTCGCGTTTGCAGTAACAGTATTAAATTGAAAATGGTATAATGTAAATTATAAAAAAATGTTGAATAACTTTTTGTCTGAAAATTTAAAAATTCATAGGAATTCATCGTTTATACATACAACTCACAAAAGTTGTATATTTTTACTAATTCTCTTGATTATTATTTGCAACTGAAATAAGTATCAGATATATAAAAGTTATAAATGGACTTAAAATTGTATAAATTGTAAATTATCTTACCAATATGTGCACCCGTAACATAAAAAAACGGTTTTAAAATTTCCTATGAATATTAATTTTCACAAGACCTTGATTCAAAAACAACTAACTGACGCACTTAAGCTAACTTAATCAAAATATTTAAAAATATTAACGAACTCAATAATAAATTATATGTGAAAAAAGTCCGCTACAATGTAAACGAAATTGCACATTAAAAGTCGTAATTAAAAACCCATAAATTTAAATATATTATGCAATATGTGTATTTTTTATGAATGCGTTTCGCGTCCCTTCAATAAAATGGTATTATGTTTCAAGTCAGTCGCCACGCTATCGTGGACTTACATAAAACTATACTCTTAAGGACCATTCACACGGGAAATAATATAATTTCAAACATATATTAAAAAACTAATTATAACTTTTTGCCAGTGCATATTAAGCCTAATCATTCTTCTCCAAATATAAATGGGACATACTAAGACTTTTAAATATCTTAGTAAATTAGATTTTATACAATATTTGTCGTCTATTCTCTTGGGCCATTCAACTAACGCTAACAAATAAAACCGTACTCCAATGTAAACTAAATCTTCACAAAAAGAAAACTCAGAGTGGAATTATTTATGTGACCGGTGGCTAGTTTTAGTTGAATCACCCATCAATCATTCCATGTAAGTGGTCCGTTAAAGGCCGTGTCCAACCACATTTAAATTGAATATTTAAGTTGGTCTTTATCGATATAATATTCATGGGAGACGCGTAAACTGTAAACGACGTTCTGTATCGTTCGACGTATCCGATCGTCGGTTTTATCTAACTTTTATTGTTATATTTTAAGTGTGTTTACGCTGTAACGTATAAAAATACATGTTTACAAGTTTTGTCCCGTGGCATTTAAAGTGCTCTTGATTGGTCAGGCTAGACGAAGCTCCGTGACATACGGAATGTTACAGCCGTTTCAATTTACAATCGGCTTTATTGTTTTTTTTAAATATGGTTTTGCATATATTTTGTATTGAAAATATAAGAATCGTATAAAAAGTGATAAAGTTTTCGCTACTAGCGTATTATATACATAACATAAAGTATTTTTTTTATGAAATAATATGTAAAGAAAACAAAAATAACACTACAAATCTCACGCTATTTAATTTGTGTGTTTTATGCTTAATTTTGACATAATACGAACAGAAACTAGAAGCATTCACTCACGACTACATACGTGTTCCTCGGATGTCTATTTTTGGAATGTTTTTTATAAGTAATAGAATTACAGACGTGCAAACGACCCACTTAATGGTAAATAGCTACCGTCCACATAGACTAAGTGGTAGCTAAGATTTAAACAAGATTTTGGAAGATAAGGAGAGTAATATTACATTCAGTGGCAGTTAACGTGAGATTATTAATCGGTCTAATTTAGTTCAAAAATATTGTTAACTAAATTCTTAAAGAGAATCTTCATTTTGCAAGTTTAATAATTCCAAATAAAACTCGTCAAAAATATATGGAGCTAATAAAAAGATATATTCTTGAATTGTCTGATGGTGAAACAAAACTATGTAATTGGATAAGAAGTTTACTTATCCGTCTATTCTGTTATTCAGCAGTAACTGTTCGCTTGGCTGTCTCCGATGATGTTCTATCTGCATACGAATTGCTCGTCATTATAGCTTTACGATCACCGATACAGAACGTGCTTGAACACTGAAATATATCCATAATAACCTACCCTTATCCCCATTAGATGTCGCCTTCGCTATATCAAATGTCTATAAATCTCAAATTTACATACGATACATTTAATTCAATAACAACATCGTATCGTAATTTCTGTTTTAAATGGAACGGAATCTTAAATACTATTGCCAGTATATGAAAAGTTGCATTTAAAATGAACTTTAAAAAAAAAATTTTGGTCACGTTTCATAATTTTAAATTGTACTATAATTTACAGTAATTATGATATTTATGGCTGACGGTATGCACAGAATGTGGGTTGAGCTCGCTTAATTGTTCAAAATATTTTATGTTATTTAGCGAAATACCGTTCCGTCTACCAGTCTCGGTTTTATGGATAAATATAAATTTATTATTAACTAGTATATGTACCTGGTTTTATTTATTCGACCATTAGGGCTGTTGTTATCTAACAAGTGTTCCGTCAGTGATTCGCTCGTCATTTTGATGGTCTAAGTTTTATTCATGTGCTGGACATTTCCTTCTATCGCATACATTAATCAGTACGCCTTGTGTGAACCGGCCACAGCTAAATTGTTGAACTAACTATCACGTCATATAAATAATACAAATGTAACACCAAAACTATTGTACTAATTAAATACATTATTGATATATTTATTTGAAAGAATATTATTGTGTTTTAGATACACCAGATTAATGATATAATGACAAACTAAAGACAATTACTTACTGAAAAAGTTATTTATTCAAACTAAATGCGTCATGCAGGAAAATCAGCGAGTTTTGTTTCAATTTGAATATACTTTTTATTATTATATCACGTTCAAGAAATGGTTCATTCTATATATGTATGTATGTATGTCAGCTGCAATCTATAAACACTTGGTCATGTTGTCGATGTATTTATATAGGAAAATGTTTTTTTTTTCTATTTATTTAGTACATTTATATATAAAGATCATTAAGAGTATGTTAGCACTCGAAAAGAGTCAGTCCACATAGTTAAACTCTGACAAAAATTATGAATCATCTGCGGACACAAGGAAGAAAAAATATTGAATCTTACGATATACTATTGCCTGTCAACATATGAGAAAACTCCACAAGCCATTTCACTGTAACTGTCTACTATCCAAGACGACCCCTATTAAAGAATATAAATATGTATTTCATATTAATTATAATAATATTAAAAATAAAAGACTATCTTAATGATCTGTACCAAATCGGGAACATCAAAAGTTATGTGCATCTGTGACGACCAGCGTCGTCTCGACCCTTCTCTGACAATAGGATGCGTTAATGCCCATATTTAGTTTGCATGAAAACGGCGACTCTCAAAAATTTTAAATTATATTCCGTAGGTTGAAACGTCGACTCTGAATAATAAAACAATTCCATATAAAGATTTTTAACTTTCTCGGTGCCTTTATGAGACGGTGCCTAACGCCGGCGTATAAATAAAGTTTTGTGTAGGTATAACACAAAACGGCCATCAAAATTAAGAGCTCGTCAAATCTGGTTTTATTTTGCATTTATTTTTCATGCAATTTCATTTATGAGATGCATTTTTATGCATCCATTCGGGTGCAACGTGCAATTTTAAGTTCGTTTATACAAAGTACATTAAATTTTTGTATGAAGCTATTCGATTCTGTATCCACAGCCTTCCGAGGTTATTGTTATTATCCCAAATTGTGTGCTGATTCAAAATTTTTAAAAGACAAGACGAGGCAAATGAGTTTTGTTTCGAATTAAATCTTTACCTGGTTAATTACGGTCGAGCAATAACACAATATAATTAGAGAATATAAACGTTTAAAAACTCAAACATTTCAATATATATTTGTTAGGTATTCATGGCACAAATGTTAAAATTGTCATTGAGACTGCCTTATAAGTAATTGTTATGGTATATGCTGACCCCATAGATTAACGTCTGGCGTTCAAAGGAAGTGTGGACTTCCTGTGATCTATCTTCGCCATTCTCGGCCAGACAATGACTGTCTATCGTTGTACGTAATTGACGACTACACATCAGCCTTCTACGGTCTGGTGCTCACCTGTTTTTTTCATGTCTCCGAGCTCGTCACTTGTTCTAGCCGGACCGTTTAGTACCGTCACGGCCTAGACGAAGCTGATTATACAATAATTTTATGATTATATATACTTATTGAATTTCCAGACATACATACATAGCATCCAAAAAAACGTAACTAATATAATTGTAGGAATTGTAAATTCGTAGTGGAAATAAATAAAATACAATTTGTAAAGAAAATATACTTTGAATGGAGAGATTTTTCCGTTCGTGTCATAGACAAGACTGACAGCTAACATAATGTTCATGGTTTGCAGAACGAACTTAATCAAAAAAAAAAAGAAAAAATGTTTATGGATTGCGTTCCATTTCAACAATAATTCTGTATATGATTTTTGTTATAATTTCGTGTGCAGATTCCTATGATCAGCAACGAAGGTAAATCTGGTTTGGGTGCTGCCAGCGAGCCTGTTAAAATAGTCTCCAAAACCCTCGGGCCTGCCACACTCCGCCTTGCAGCACGTACCAAGATGTTACAACCACCAGCTAAGGCTTTTCAACCTCAAGATGAAGAGGAATCAGAATAAATGGATTATACTAAATACTAAGAGCAATTTCTTTGAAATAAACTATTTACTTTTTCCTACATTTTTGTTATAGAAAATTAATTATTCTGTTATAAACTAAACTGAAGTCTACGTCAATGCTTTGCGACTTTACTATGTATATTTCATTATATGTATATAAGTGTCTCTTTATAAGCAGTTGATGTAAATAAACGTGTTTGAAGTTTTCTTTGGTTTTAATTTTGATACAATTTCTAGATCTATAAGTTTTCTCATGATTTTTGACTTAACAAGATGGACCAGGCACCCGTACAGTGAATCCATTGGATGCTAAGATGTTTCTCATTGTAAGTCGATTCAGTCAAACAGTAGCAGACAAATCGTAAACGTATAATGGAGAAGCGCGTGTTCACATCACGAAAAACACACACAGAGTGACTGTTAATGAGTTTATTGAAAATATACGTGTTACAGTACGCGATGTCACTGTTTACTACTTGTATTGAATTGATATAATAATATAATGAATATAATTGCTATATACACTTGAATCATTACTAACGTTCTATACTTACATGTTTGTCAATTTTTTAAGACACGTAACTAAGTTTGTATAGGTCTGAATTACATAAAGAAATAATCGTATATTATGTTTGAAAAACATATCAAATTATCATCTCACAGTTTTGTATTTGTTGAGAGAAAATAAAACACGTAAATATGTATTCTCTTTTGAGTGAGAATTGATTTAAAACTAAACAGCACTTACATATATTATTTCTTATAATTCTCTTACTTTTTAACTCCTACAAATGTTAGACGTAAAAATCTCAAATATCTCAAACTTTATTTTTAGAAAGACAAACATTATTTGAAACATGTAAATTAGATTTCATATCAATTTCATCAGAAGTGATATGAGCAAATTAATAAATATTCAGCCAGCATGAAAAAATATTGAGAAACCTCAAAAAACACTTAAATAAAAATTTGTACATCAATTGACAGTCACGGACTATTCAGTAGAAATAAAAAAAAACTTAAAAATTTCCTGAAGCAGTCAAATACAATCATTTTATAAAAAAGTAAGTTGAATTTAAATTATTTCTTTTATAACTTTATAAAAACCAAAATTATGATTTTACATTCAGACTGAGTTTTCCTTGTCCTTTATCAATTAAAAGTTTTAATTAAACAAAACAAAAAAATATAAACCTTTCAATTACAGAAACTTAATAATTATTATTATTTTCGAATGATGTAATCTCTATACAATAGGTTTTAAACAATTCTTAATTGCTCTTCTACTTGCATACCTTGCAATAGGTACATATTTTTTATCAACTTATGTTTTTAAAAGAATTTGGTTTTATTACAAGTACAAAAATAATAATATACAATTAAATATAAAGTAAAAACCAGAGAAATAGTTTCAGTGGAAAACTAAATATAATTGTGTAGGAAATACACCTGTAATCAAGGAACAAGGTAACTTTTTCTCTGTCATTAGCGATAGAATCGCGTGCATTTTGAATTCACTTCTAATGGCTATTATTAATAGTTGTGGTCAGTTAAAAGGAACTATTTATGGTCGTTTGTCTAAATGAAGCAATAAAAAGGTTTCTTACAAGAATATTTATATAAAAAGAAGAATACCATGACTCAATAGTAACAAGGAAAAATTGGTACGAATCTTGAAAAATATTTAAATATGTCGACAATTGAAAGAATTTACGGTTCACTTAGGTTGCAATTGTCCAATAAATCGGTTGTTATTTCGTCGGGACGTCACTAGCGTTTTCATAGCTCGTAAACAAACGGATTTATCTGGGGATCGATTCATCGTTGTTAATTGTTGGTAATCAAACGATTGAATCCACGGTCGTGATGATGCAGCGGACCCCACGTCGCCTTCAGTTACTCAGCGTGATGCATGACCGGCAATTTGCAAAATCGAATGTAATTTATGATCAGATTGATCATTCCTTAAAAGACGACTAGTGATTGCTGTTTCGGTTGGCGCACGTCTAAAAAAATCGTTATAAGTGCATATTACCACTCACTTCAGTCATCTCGGCCGTACGTGATGAGAACACATCATAAATTATGTGCGATTGGTATTGAATTTTAAAATAAAAAATTATATGTTATTTTGTTCTCGAGGTTTTAATCATGTACTTGACTTGAGTTATGTTGGATTTTGTGGCAAATAAAATAATTTAAGAACTAAATTATCGCAATTACATAGCGGTCCTGAGAAATCAGTTTTTCATTTGTTTACATAATTACTTATGAAGGTACTTCTTAGTAAACCACACACATACAGTCTCCGAATTGTAATTTGTTTTACAAACTTCAGGAAATTTAACGGTTTCTAAACTGTAAAATAACCTTACTAACATAACATCCGCATCTACTCAAAACGATGACAATGTCCGTGGGGATTGAAAAATAAACACAGTAAATTTATAGCCAAATTACTATACTGCCAAAATGTCAAATTAGCATAGTTAAAGTTTATGTAGAGAAAAAAGTGCATAAACCTATATACATAAATAAAATAAATATTAAAAAAAAATATATGAAATACTTCAAATAAAGATGCCAAGCTTATGACATATGCGTCATGTAATATGTCAACTGTCAATTTCAAATATCCAATCTTCAATGCTGTCACTAAACGTCAAACAAAATGACATTTCTTACGTCTATAATGCTTCATTATTAACTTTGACAAATTAAATATGACAGAAAATCAACCGTTCGGCGATGCCTAGTTTAATTAAATTAATTTTGTTCACATACAGTACAATGGTGTAGCGCAATTGCTTAAATAAAAAATGGCCTGTAAGGTAATCCCCTGGTTTCTTTCACGCATGATGAAGTAAAGATCCTAACCGCGCTCCTTATGCACACTTAATACGCAGGATGCGGCCAATTAAACACCGGAGGTACAGAGATAATTAGTTATTCGAGGGCAAGTTTGTATCTTTTAAATAAACCTTTCACTGGAGTTACTTTTAAATGTTATTTATACTTTTATTCAAATAATCTTAGCGGCCAGCAATAAAAATCCGAGCAGAATAGCTTTGTGCCGTTGATAGTTCTGATTGTTAAATTTAAGCTAAATAATATCTTCACTTTAAAAATCAGCAAAGAATTTATAAAAGTTAAAGAAAATTAGAAAAATTACAGAGACTAATAAATAAATGTGAAAACAGATTCATTACAACTCAAATATTTAAGGTACTTAGGGTTTAATAAAACAAAAATATATAAAATGAACCGAGATTATCTGGTTTTCGTCTAGTTCATAAATTTTTGAGGATGCTCTCTCCAAGAGAAAGGTCGGGGCGTCCTCGCGTCGGCAGGTGACGCCGGGGGCATTAGTTATGCGTCGGCGGCGAGTGCGCTGTCTGCGCCGTTTCCTGTGCAAGCCCCCTCCCCCCTCCCCCCTAACCCCTCCCCCTTAGACCCTCTTCCCACCCTTACACCTATAATTAACTCGAACGCTTGATAAATGTTAAATTCATCAGCGCAGAGCAGCTTTAAGGTTAACCAAAGTCATGATTTTTTTTTTTTTTTTTTCGTTTTCTTTTTTACGATTTCAACATTACAAATCTCACTACTTTTTAATTTTAAATGATTAAATTTTATTTATATTATATAAAAAATGTAATAAAGAATAATTGAAGTCAGTTTTCTGCGGGGAGCGCTAAGTTTAATCTATAAATAACTAATAATGTTGGTACGTAGTTTTAAATGGAAACGGTTTAACGAAAGCGGGGTCCACACGACACGAGCAGACCGTAACGAGAGTCGGTCGCATTGTAACGTACGTAGACAGACGTATTACTATTAAATTTATAATAAAAATCATTATTTTATTACATTAGTATATAATAATAAACTAGAAAATAGTTTACATTCAAAAAGACACTTGATAACAATCAATTCCGTTATATAAGAACTCAGCAACACTAAACTTCTATACAGTATAATAAACAAACTTTGTAGTTTTGAAATGTAAACAATGAATTAGAATTACGCAAGGATTCCGCTAACATTAAATAGCTTCATTCATTCATCGATGCCTTCTCGGAAAACTACTAATCTGAAAAAAACAAGTTTAACGCCTCTGAAATAAGTCCGCAGCCTAAACAAATGCTAAATATAGTGTAACGAACACTAAACAGAGTCGAGACTTGACCTCAGTCTGCCACTTCTGTCTAAATTTTCCCGCACTGACAGATAAACAAAGAAATGTCTAATTGCCAAATTTTATGTTTATTGGACTTTTATTTCTTAATTTAACATGTAGCTTCATTAAGGCGTATAATAACAATTAAAACAAATAATTACTTTCTCTATTAATTGTGTTTTATTAATTCTGTTAATAGATTATTGTTTTTAAAGATATATTGTAATATGAAAAGATATAACGAGAAGTATAATTAAAACTATAAAATTTTGTTGTTTTAATATAATATAAATATTATACTTACTTAAAACAAACAATATTAATATAAATATAAACTAATCACATATTATTGTTACTCTGTGAGTCTGTGTTACTCTGTGCGCCTGCAACAGGTGTGAAGGACGAAACGTCGCCGCAACACATCCCCAACTTGACCTTCAATTTCGTATACTTTCTTTTGTGAACCGACTTGCAAGTTGTAAGCGATATTACAACTCTCAAAATGTTTGAACGTAGTATTATTCTCACGATCTATTCCAAAAATAATATGAATCAACATTTCTTATAAAATCTACACGTGTTTGGATTGAAGACGTGAGCCCGTACACATTTTAAACGAACTTTATGGCTTCAAGTGCGTAATTTAAAAATAAACTCATACATGGCTATACCTACTATAACTATAGTATCTCTCGTTTAAGGAGAGGGTCAATTATCAACCATTTTTATTACGTATCTATACTATTAGTTGTTGCTTGTCATTGTAAAAAGTTTTATATGAATACAGACTCTTTTATACATTATGAACATTTGTTTAAGTCATAATTTTTTTTAAATATTACTTTATCTATAATATTAAAATACTTGTATATTATTGAAGTGTAATAATTAATGTGTTCCATAACCAGGGAATCAATATGTGTGTGAACTATAGTATAAGTTTGTTATAATGATTTTATTCCTTTCTAAACCTTGCGGTTAATGGTTATGGTTTAGGATTAAACTATTGAAGGTGTGAAGTAATGAAATTGATAACTATAACTTAACTGATTGACTTATAAATTTAATATATACTATACACACATAAGCACAACATACGGGTAGATATTATACTTATTTACTTATTTTTTAGTTCTATAGAAGCTTTTCTTTCTTTTAATTTATTGATATAAAAACTTTTTGTTTAATACTTAAATTACTTTTTTATGTAAATCGCTTATTTATTACTTTTTACTTTCAAACTAATTACAAGGTTGGTAAAAGGAAGTTACGTTAGTTAAGAAACTTTTAGCCTTTAATCCTTTCATGAAGGAATTACTTTAAGAAATAATCTTAAATTATAATTTTATAAAAAAGTGGTTAAAAAATATGAGTAAAAAAGTCGTTTTTACCGTAAGACTGTTTGAATTCTCTTTGTATCAAATTTTATTACACGACATCAAATCTTGATCTTTATGAAAATCCATTGATATAAATATGGTTTGTATTTAAAATATCTTAATTTATTAGATAATATGTAATATAAAATAGAATATCTGTTCTTGTTTCTTTGTAATGTTTCCGAACGTTACAGACATAGAGTAATACGTTAAAAAAAAAAACAAACTGTCAATATCCAATGTCATTATGTCACAATTTCCGATTTTTTTCATCGAAAAGTTATTTAAATTACATAGAAAGTAAAAATATAAAGTTAAAAGGTGTCCCACTATAAAATTCATACAAACTTTACTACCGAGTTCACACTGAGCACAGAAATATTATACAATGTATCTCATTCATATAAAATATGATATTTATGCGACTGTAAATTTGCATTAAAAAGCCAAAGTACTTTATACATCCCTATGACACGGAGACTTAATAAATTAAACAAAAAAGGTAAATTATATTCAATTCACTTGGAGTTTTACTTTTCGTCTTTTTTAAAATCGATTACATATTATAGAAGTCGGCTATCTTTTAGAATACTTCATTATTTTTGAATTAATCTTATTTATTTTCATAACACGCCTCATTTTTAGATTGGAGTCTTATATTAAATATTGAAATAATTATATTTTAAGTAATATTCTTAGCGTCATGCCGCGATATTGGTTTTAAAATCTTTTTGAGTATAATCTGAAAAGTGTCCATTTAAGTACTATTTTCTTGCACTTCAACCTTACCTGGCTAGCCTAATTGTTCATATCTTATTTCCTTTTCTTATCTTTAGTCACTTAAGATAAGTGAAACACAGTCGAGATGATAAATGTATGAAGTATGTACATATGTATGTTTAATTACAGTAAAAATCTATAATTAATATTGTAAATAATTAAACAGTACTAAATAATATATTACCGTATTAACAACATAATATATTATCCGAAACGAGAACACGAAATATATGAAGCATTTCGTGAGTACAGACAAAAAATATTTTAAAAATATAAACTGGTCCAGAAAAAAGTTTTTAGTCAAAAATCATTATCAATTTGGACCGTTGACTAACTTATAAAAAAAAGAATGATAATGTTTAGAAGATTCATAAAGACGAAATGTCAAAAAGTGTATTATAATAAAACCTTGTTCATTCACAAATCCCTCTATACATAGTTCAGTATATCGGCACGATATTGGCGAAATCTATAAGGAACTAACTAACTAAAGAAGTAAGTATTATAAAGAATATTATTGAAGAGGGCGCTACATACACGCGTTGTTTTAATTAAAAGTCCGGAGATGTCAAGGCCGCCCTGTCGCAGCCTGCACTTGCACGGAGAAAGTTTTAATGGCCACCGATTGATGTTTTATTTTTCATTTCACAGACGGTTTTTTTCTCGTAACAGTTTCTTGTTGAACGCACTTTACGCCGCGCTGGGAAGTCGCTTTTTTAAGGCACTTCTTATTGGCATTTCTTTTTGTGCTGTTTATGCTTGGTTTTGTGGAACGATTTTATATTATAAACGTTATTTAATGCGGGCTTGTATTGATTTAATATCATATATTAATAGCGTGACTGTAATATGAATTTATAGTTATTATTTCTGTTTCATGAAAAATAATTAAGTTATGATATAATGATCTAACTTTTCTTCTTCTTCTACCTGGTAATGTCCCGACTATAGCCAGGGTCTGCCTTATATGTTGTGAATAGTTTTCGCTAATCGTTTTTACGACCAGCCGCTGCCTGACATCAACCCACTTTTGGGAATCAGCATTAATCAGTGATGTCTAAATATTCTATAACGATCTAATTTTTATAACGTATTAATTTGAAAGTACATATATATATTTTTTATATAATTGTCTGTTTCTATGGTCTTCAATAATTCATCTCATCTATTGTGCTATAGACAGCATAAAGCAATCAAACGTCTTCATATGTAGGACCTATGTACATACAGACATCTGACACTTGTGGATGTACAGATTATGAATACTTCTAGATGTACCTTCACGTTTAATTTCCACGTTCTTCTAGAATATTAGAACACAATCAAGATCTCCTATTAAAGATATTCTAAGAGGAATCGAAAGATCATAAATCATTCCATTCATACCAATTAACACTTTGACTTTGGGACATAAAATTTTAAACGTTTTTATTGCGAGATAATTGGTGTGTCTGTATAAATTTTTGGCTAAATTGTCTAACATAGAGGTTGATGTTTTTTTTATATAAAAAAATTTGAATAGATTCGTATAATTTTTATAACACTATAAAATTATTTACAAAAAGTTTTCAACTCTATTTTCAACGAATAAGTTCGCTAGTCTTATTAAACAAAGCGTAATCATGGATCAGTCGAAATAAAGGAATAAAAAACATTAAATTACAGGATACGTGAACAATTTATATGTCACATCTAGCAGATGTTTTATCCCTGTTAAGTCGAACGCACTTAGTATGCCCGTCCGAAACGTGAGCTCGCAAATCGCAGCGGCTAGACAGACGCTGACTGTCTAGCCTAGACAAAGCCACCAATTACCACTATTCAGATATATACTACGCTTTGATACATACACAATATCAGACAGACCAAAGAATATAATAATAAACTCGTACAAATCTAAAAATATACAAAAAAAAACAGAAGCGATTTAATTCCATATTCGGTAGTACGACATTAAATTATAATATATATATTTTTTACTAATGAATCCGCGACGCGCAACCGCTACCGCGCTACGCGTTATTAAAGCATTGTTCATACAAGTTTGCGTGCAAATAGAGACACGTCAATCGAGACTAAAGAAAAACAGACAGACGCTAAGGCGACGTAAAAACAAGACGTGGAATAAAAACTAGTGCAAACACGGATGTTCGCTGGACAGTGGAAAAAACGAGTTACGTACACTAACCAGACATCAGTGATCACTATGCCCTACAAATAAAACCATTTCTCTTTCACTTTTACAACAATTTCAACATAAACTTAAATATCAAAAACAAAATATTTCATTCCAAAGATCCGTATCTATTCTCAGTATTATAATTGCTAAATTTATTACAATATAAATTATGCATAAATTAATTATTCATTAAAAAATATTAACTAATTTATATTTAGTAAAGAATTCTCACGTAGAAATGTTGATATAATCTTTTTATAATAACAGAAACATAACTTATACGGCTTATCGTTATGCTAATATGTTCTCTGGTTTTAGAAATAACACCTTAGCAAATAAATAATACGAAACTAAAATATCAAATTATGAATTTAAAGATTATCTTTAATATAATTCGTGTATTAAATAACAGTTTACATTCATTACTATATTTTAATTGCATTGCTTCAAACGGAAATTCTTACGGTTGTTTGAAAGTATCTGCTAGAAAGAAAGTAAGGTACACCTTAAATGGCAACACTTTGATAACATGGATTTATAGGAGTTTAGGTGAAACGACGAGAAAAGTAATGTTTACACAGATTAATTATCTTAAAAGTAATTTCGTGCCTCTAAATTTAACTAGTGTGGAGGAAATATATCTGCAAAGTTTCTCCATAGTTGGCTAGATAATTAAAACGTATTAATAAATTGTATGAAATATAAACTTCCAAGAACAAAAATGTCACAACAAAACTCTTTGGTTTTTAAAACTCAACTAATAAAAAAAAATTGAAGTAACTTTCTTTTTACTGAATACTTTTATCCATTATACATTTTATTTCAATATGTTATAATGTTAATATTCGCTCTATAGTTTCATTGACTGTCAATCAACAATGACCGACGTCGGTTAATTAATTTTACAAAAAAACTTTATAGAGCGTACGGTCAATATGTAAAAACGTTTGTATAAATGACCGCTATTAACGCCTCCAAATGTTCGAGGTGCAAATAGTATGGGACCAATCGAGTCATGTTGATAATTGTCGGCGTAAACAGACGAGTCGGCGAGTGTCGGCGAGTTTTGACAAGGTCGGTTAGGACGAAAGAATAATCAACCACAATTAAGGTAGGTCGCAAAACCGCATCGATAAAGCTTGGTACACATCGAGCTGTAATAAAACGTTTGATCAATTAAGAATGTACGAAACCAGTTGATACGATGGATTTGGTATTTAAATTTAATAATAAATGATAATTTATTAAAATGTCGATATTATAATAAACCTACAACTAACAGCTGTTTTTAATTGATGGAGGGAAGGTTTAAGCTCGATTGCACTTTTAATGTCAAAACGATTACTAAACCGCCTAAATAAAATATTTTACAAACTACAAATATACTATTATTTTAATTATATCTTTTAACAGATAATACGTAAATATTTTAAACATTATAATTATGTATAACATACTTAATACAATAGAAAAAAAAATGTTGACGTCAGCATTGCATAACGATCTTTAAATAACATTGTCAATCTCGTTACTCGGATTTCTTGTGAGAAACACTCATCAGCTGACTCACGGTCATTAAATATGTAATTTGTAATACAGAAACAGAATGAGGTCTTAATACATAATCAGGTTTACTCATATTCACGTACTAAACCGGGATATAATAATGAAAAATCTTTATATGGGAATTGTTATAGAAATTTATAAGAAAAAGTCTCCAAGACGGATGTGGACGTCTGTAAATAAGATCGTTTGCGTTTCCACGATCTCTGGTACGTGGAATCTATGACAATGCGACGTCTCGATGGCTCCTTTGATAAAGAGAAAATTATATAAACACTATCGATGTATGGAAATCTTTACTTTTTAAAATACAGATTATAAAACCTAAATAATTGTATAAAATATTTTTTTTAATCTGTTCCAGGATTTGACAGATGATTCATTTTGGTTACTATAAGTTTAAAGTTTAAATCCTCGTCTATAGTAATAAAATGTGTGTCCATTTGTTGCTAGCTATATCATGACTATTTTTAGATCCTCATTAACTAAATTACTACAAAAAATATAAAGTATCTAAACAGAAATAGACACAGAAATAAAGTGCTCAATAATACTATCATTAGTTTTTTCTGTTTTTATTTGGATTTATCTACATATAAATTTCAATTTAATCATTGTTAGAACCAGAACAAAAACTTCAAATCAGTTCTTTTTATACTATTATGGTGAAAAGTGTAGAGTTAAAGTATTACTATTCAAGACTTCTTGGACGCTTGAAACTTTTGTTGTTCGAATAATCATTTCAATAATTACACCATTTTAAACTACTTACAGTGAAAATGAACATTTAACTTCATTATTTATAATTACCGAGCTCTAAAATTGCAGCCATTATTTTGCTACATATAAAAAAATACAATAAATCCGTGCTACCATTATACCATAAATTTAAAATCTACTACATTTTTGGTAGTTTACAATAAAATGGCAACACCAAACATAAATAATTCATATGCATCCTAAACTTAACCTATATATTAATTTCACACAAAATACAACTGAAAATATTTGAAATATCAAATTTAGTGTATAATTATTTTATATAATATATAAATGAAGTGTTAAATGATCAAATTAACCTGATCTAATAATAATAAAGATTCCATCAAACTATCAGATGTACCGCGGTGTAATATGACACCGTGTCGGTTAGCCAATGATCTTGAATGACAATGATGAGGGGATATTCAATTATTTATTGTGTTCAATACGTTACTTGTCCGATCTGTTTAGACGTGGTCTTACAGAGATGTTCTGACACCGCCTATATTAACCAAAAAAGAAACTAGGATTGTTTAAAATATTACCCAACTAGTACAATTTTCTATAGATCATATAAATAAGCTTTTTACTTATAAGTTATAGGATATCATGAAAGAGTTTACTTTGTAAGACATTCCTACTCATACAGAGTTAGTTTAAAAATAACTAGAATCCAATAATAAGTAAGGTTTAAAATATCATTTCAAATGCATTGAGATCGATTGCAAAGATTTTCGAAGTTTTTTAAATATTTCACAAGAAAGAATTCGGCCAACATATATATTAAAATCTTTGATAAAATATTGAAAAACCACTCTATATAACATATTACTATGTAATATATACATTTTTAATAACATAACAATATTCATATATAAAAACGAGTATCACATAAATTTAACGTCTTTTTAATTACTTGAATTTGATATGTACATTACATTGATAGTTTAGCTATATACTATCTGTATAGATTCGTAAATGATAAATATTTATTATCTATATTTATTTTTAAATGGCTAGCATCCGGATTTTTCATCCTTAGAGGCTCAAAAGGACTTGTATCCAGAGAGATAAAACATTGATAAAAAAAAATTCATCCTTATGTACCTCAACATTTTTAATATTTTGCATATTGTCAATAAACACTACCGTTATTTAATCCACTATTGGCTGGCATTATATATAATTAATTTAATAATACGGCTGCCAATTATCAATAATCGTGAATAATGATGGTAATAAGTTTAAGCGTTCTTAATTACAGTGCATTGGTATATATTCTACGTTATTTTATAATAAAATAAAGTTCCTCACAGATATCCTTCGATGGATAATGTATTATAGCTGTATAAAGGCTACATATTTGCATATTATATATATAGAAAAAATCCATTAATCGTACCTTTGTCATCCCACGTAAAAAAATAAACTCCGGTAGCCACGAATCCTCGACGACTTATATAAATATAAATTGGGCTAAAGATTTTTATCAACAATTAAAATTTCTCATAACTCATTCCGACTCAATATATCGCGTCGAGATAACACATTATACTGTATTATTAGTGGAAACATAAATTACGTTTACCAAACTTTTTTTTTTTTGCACCAACTCTATTTGTCCACGGCTGATCGTTATCGACCACGAAAGCAAGGAGTTTTCATTTAAAATGAGAATAAAAACTTTTTTGTAATACTTATTTTTTTAAGACAAAGTTTTATTAAGACAGAAAAGTACGAAAGAAATGAATTCGCCAATCAATCCTATATTTGGATTTTAGTTGTTTGTTATAAATATTGTAATAGTGCTAAAAATAACTAATGTAAAGATAAAAAAATATATGTTTATTTATACGATCTATATACATACATTTATAGAACTATTTAATACTAATACATTATAGAGGAAGGATAAAATGCAAATTATATAAATACCATCAAGATTATATACATATATAGTATATACACTTGTACATATATTCAGTATCGAAGGAAAAACATAAAAAATATTACCAAATGTCGGGGTTTTATAAATATTTTTGTCAATCGTTCACAGCACAAGAAAAGATGGCGTCACTTACAAAGAAACAGAACCTTATTATTTATTATATTATCCTTAGAACAGAATTTCAGTATATCTTAGTTCCTATTCACCCCGAATATTTTTTTTAATCGCCAAATCGTTAAAGATTTAAAATTCAAATCCAGAAAAATCATGGAGGTTGTATATAGTATTGAATCATGTAGCTACAATTTTATTATACTTATAAATAATAAATAAAAAAAGGAATTGCAACTATTTAGTGAACGGAGAATTTTATGAATAAAATATGTTTAAATTCTTTTACTAAGTATTATTACTTATAAGTTATATCCTGCCTATCCCACGAGATAAATTAATATTATTATGAGCTAAAATTTATAAAAAAGAAACAAAAACGATACGTTTGTAGTATGATTAAACCAGCTAGTAGTAAAGATACAGATTATACATCAAAACAACAAACCTGAAGATTAAAAAAAACAATCAAATTCCAAACCGAAATAATAAAATATCGGCATAAACGAAAATTCAAAGTCAAATTAAAACTATAATGTTTATAGCACAAGAATCAATCAAATAAAAAATATATATATCTTTTCAAAGAACGTGCTTTGTTACCTATAGATCATGTATGCTAACATTTAAGTATATATGTATATATTTATTCCCAAAGAGGGTTGATGTCAGGCAGACCCTGGTTAAAGCTGAGAAATTGCCAGGAAGAAGAAGAAGATATATATAATCCACCTGTCTCTTTGAAACACTAAGTTGTCAAATTGATTTAATCTGAGTCAGTCTGATTACATTGTGTGTAGCCACTAATTTGCTGGAATTAGTATGTGCCAGAGAGACCTCGGACAGACTGATTTACGAGCGACTACTAAATCAAACACGATATCAATCTGCTTATTAATTCAATGGATTTATGTTAAATGTAGTAACAGAGCGTAAAACACTATGTACTATTACGTGTTGGAGTATACGGACTGAAATACGTACGTGTTCATATATACGGAAATGTTGATTTTTACGGAAAGATTTCAATGTTTAAACGGAGATTTATTAATGAAATTCAATAAAAGAACTTTATTGTTAATTAATTTTTCCTTAGAAGCATTTATTTCTTACACCATTATAATTATCCACTCACAGAAAATGTTGAGAAGCCAATAGCTAAAGATAGTTGTAACAGATGCATTTCGTTTGATAACCGACAGTGCCGGAAATCTTAAGAGGAGTGGGGGGAGAGGCTAAGATTTCCGGTCAACCCTAGTATTTTATCATAATCTATGCCTTCTTAACTTTCTACTATAATCTAATACGTCCTACAGATAACAAAGATGACTGAAAATAGATAAACTAATATATAAATTTATCACTCATTTTCCTTACCATCTTTACTGTTATGTCTTTTGAATTAACCATCACTAAATAAAAATTATAAAATATTAAATTTAAAACTCACAATAACCATGCAATATAAAAGCTAAATTAATATTATTCCATTGTAATCCCTACTAATATTATAAATGCGAAAGTAACTCTGTCTGTCTGTCTGTTACGCTTTAACGCCTCAACCACTGAACTGATTTTAATGAAATTTGGTACAGAGATAGAGTTGACCTCGAAAAAGAACGTAGGATAGTTTTTATCCCAGACTTTTGAAAGGTTCTCTTGGAAATGCGATATAACCGAACTATAGAAC